TGCCACGGCTGTTCTCTCTGCCGAACCCTCTGGAGAAGCAAACGCAGCAGCAGCAGCAGCAGCTGCAGCAGCTGCAGCAGCTGCAGCACCTCTAACTAATGGGGGGCGATTAGGTGTGGAGACGTTGCTCAGCTGCTGCTGCAGCAGAGTCTGCTGCTGCTGCTGCGCATGCTGCTGTACATGTTGCTGCTGCAGGGAGAGCTGCTGCTGTTGCTGCTCTTCCAGGTGTTGCTGCTGCTGCTGCTGCTGCTGTCTATCAGAAAGCCTCGGTATTCTGCTGCGGCCAATTGCTGCAGCCTGTGCTGCTCCTGCTGTCGCTGCTGCTGCTGCTGCTGCTGCTGCTGCAGAAGCGGTGCGGTTGCGTACAAGTGAAGATGCAGCGGGGATTTTATTGGGGTGCTGCTGCTGCTGCTGCTGCTGCTGCTGACTGTTGTCGGCGCTGCTAGGAGGCATAGAGCGCTTCGGGCTCCTCACTAACACCATCGTTAGTGTTTAGGGTTTAGTTAGGGTTTAGGGTTTAGGGTTTACGGGGGGTTCGTTCGAGAAGGAGAGACAGCACATGAGCTACTAAGAAACCCCCATCCTGTACTGAAAGATAAGGGTTTACGGTCTGTAGCCTAGGGTTTAGGGTTTAGGGTTTAGGGTTTGGGGGGCTCCTGCCCGCTAGCGGGAGGTGGCAGCACCCCCGAGGACGCCAAGGGTTTACAAAACAAAGACAAAAGAATAAATTATTAGGGTTTAGGTTTTAGATGCATTAAACTTTAGGGTTTAGGGTTTGGGGCTGGGGGATTAGGGTTTAGGGTTTAGGGTTTGGGGGGAGGGTTTAGGGTTGGCCGCCGACTGTCTTCAGTGTCTTCTTGAGTCCGTAGGTTTACGGTTTAGGGTTTAGAAATAAAAGAATTAAATATTTGTTTTAATTTTTAGGGTTTAGGGCTTCTTGCTATTTAGGGTTTAGGGTTTGCCCGTTCGAGGGTTTAGGGTTTAGGGTTTAGGGTTTAGCTCCACGGCCAACCACCTAGGAACACCCTTCACTAAAACCCTAAACCCTAAACCGTAAACTCTAAACCCTAAGCCGTCGAAACGTCTGTAAACCCTAAACCCTAAACCATTCAACCTAGCGAGACGTCTATAAACCCTAAACCCTAAACCCTAAATCCTAAAGGCATGTAGCAGGGGTAGGCGGGCCCAGGCCGCTGCTGATCCTAAACCCTAAACCCTAAGAACGCTAAACCCTAAACCCTAACCCCCAAACACCTACGCTTCAAACCCTAATCCCTAAACCCCGAGCCCTAAACAAAACCCGCCCACTAAACCCTAAACCCTAGCCCCTAAACCCTAAACCCTAAACCCTAAACCCTAAACCCCTAGTAGTGCGGATACAAAAGGAGACAAATGCATAGAGCATGAGGGTTTTATCTATATGAGAATAATAATTTGTTTATTTGTTTGTTTTAATAAACTGTCAGTAGACAGCACATTCTTCTGTCTCTTCTGTCTCCTTTTGTTGTTGTTGTTTATTTGCTAATTATCTGTCTCTGTTTGAGGCATCTCCTCTTTAATTTATTTTTAATTCATCTCTAATAAAGGAGACAGATAAAATAATGAGCAGAGACGAATAAACAAAAGAAAGAAGCAAAGGAGACAGAAAAATATAAAGAAACAGACAAGACACAACAAAGCAGACAGACATATAAATATATATATATATAAATATATATATATATATATGTATATGTTTATAATATAAAATAAATATATATATATATATTAAATAAATATATATATAATGCGTAGGGCTATTAAAGAGAAGCAAAGAAAGGAGACAGAAGAATGCGACAAAATATATACACCTAAAATTTAAACTGTCTCTTCTTCTTAGATTTTGCTGCTGCTGCGGAGACACCTCGCAGTTCATCGCCTTTTCTCTTTCTTTCTGAAGATACACCTCAAACAATTAAAAGACAAAAAGTAAATCCTATTGCATTAAAACAAATACAACATTAAATAGACAGACAGACACAGGAGACTGACACACTAAGGAGACAGACAAAGAAGAGACAGACAAAGAAGAGACAGACAGACAAACAAACAAACAAACAAACAAACAAACAAACAAACAAACAAACAAACAAACAAACAAACAAACAGAGACAGACAGACAGACAGACAGACAGACAGACAGACAGACAGACAGACAGACACAGACAAACAAACAAACAAACAAACAAACAAACAAAAGGAGACAGAGAAGGAGACAAAAGAAAGGGAGACTCACGATCTGCAGGGTCTATCTGTCCTGCTGCTGCTTTTGCTCTTGCTGCTGCTTCTTCGTGCTGCCGCAGCTGCTGCCTAATAACATCTGCTGTAAATGCACCTTCTTGTTCTGCAGCACAAACACCAACAACATAAACACGTTGCTGCAGCAACAGCAGCAGCAGCAGCAGAAGCTGCAACAACAGCAGCAACGGCAAAAGCTGCAGCAGCAACAGCAGCAGCACAAACTGCAGCAGCAACAGCAGCAGCACAAGCAGCAGCACAAGCTGCAGCTGCAGCAGCACAAGTAACAGCAGCAGCATGAGCAGCAGCAGCAGCAGCAGCAGCAGCAGCAGCAGCAGCAACGCACCCATTTCATTTGGGTTAAGAGAGACAGTAACGCCGATCGGAGTTGCTGCTCCTGCTCTAGCAGCAGCAACAAGAGGCGTGCTTGCACCGCTAGCAGCAGCAGCAGAACCGACAAAAGGAGATGCAACACCAGGAATGAAGGGGGAGGCTCTACCGCTGAGGAGGCGTGGGGTGGAGACACCTGCAGGTGTCTGTACACCCGAAGCAAGGCCAGATCCCGGTTGCTGCTGCTGCTGCTGCTGCTGTCTTGAAAGAGCAGCAGCAGGAATTCGGTACGTATGCTTCACACCAAATAGCTGCCCTTGCTGCACTGTTGTCTCCTGGGGTGTCAATACAGTATAAGCTTTCGACGATGAAGAGACAGATGAAGAGCCGCCCTTCTGCTGCATCAGAGACACTGAAGCAGGCGATGATAAACCTATGCTGCTCAAACCCACACTTGCCGCACCTGCAGCAAACGGTGTATCTGCAGACAGCTGTAAACAAACAAACAAACAAACAAACAAACAAACAAATAAATAAATCTAACAATCAATCAAGTTAGCTTCAGCACCTACAGCAGCAGCAGCAGCAGCAACAACATCTGCAGCACCAACAGCAGCAGCAGCAACATCTCCAGCACCAACAGAAGCAGCAGCAGATATAAGAGTTATATATATATATATATATTAATTCCTATATCTATTAATATATTTATTAATATATTTATTTATATATTTGTAGTTCTATCACTCTTTTTTTGCGTAATGTTTGTTATGTTGTTTTAGGGTTTGCTAAGCGGAGACAAATAAATAAATAAATAAAATATAAATAAATAAACAAAATATAATAAGCATATTAATATATAAACACACAAACAAATAAAAGATAAATGCATTTCATTACTGCTGTCGTCTTAACACTAAACCCTAAACCCTAAACCCTAAACCCTAGTCTCCATCCATACCTGCGCTCCCTCCCCTGCAGCTGCTTCTCCCTCTGAAGCAACAAAAAGACAGAGAGAGGCACACAGACGCAAACACAATCCTAAACCCTAAACCCTAAACCCTAAGCCCTGTGCTGCTCCCAGTGCAGCTAGGGTATTATAATGGTTTATTGTAACTTATTAATTAGGGTTTAGGGTTTACGGTGTATTCATTAGGGTTTATGCGGGTTTAGGATTTACAAACAAGGGTATATAACATAATTGCTTAAAGAATATATTATAATCAAAGAAAATATATATATATATATACATATTATATTCCGCACTAGGGTTTAGGGTTTAGGGTTTAGGGTTTAGGGTTTAGGGTTTGAGGATGCCAACCTTGTTCTTCTTCTTCTTCCTGTGGTGCATCGGCATCAGGAGGCAGCTCTCCCCACAAGACATCATTTGCTGCATCTGGTGCATCTTGCTGCAGTTCAGCTGTCTCTTCAGCTTCATCTGTCTCTTCATCTAATCGAAACAAAAGTCTGCCGCCTTCATCTACAGGGGGTCGACCCCAGCCTCCTGGCTGATAGCCGTAGCTACACCCCGCAGGTATAGGTGCATTTAAACCCGGGAGACGCAACCGAGGATAGGCTGGGGGAGGCCCGTACCTGCAGCAGCAGCAGCAGCAGCAGCAGCAGCAGCAGCAATATGAGCAGCAGCAGCAGCAACAGTATGAGCAGCCGCAACAGCAGTACCAGTTACAGTAGCAGCAACAGCAGCGGTATGAACAGTAGCAGCAGGAGAAACATGTATCAGCATCAACAATAGCAGCAGCGCCATAAGCAGCAGCAGCAGCAGCAGCAGTAGCAGCAGCAGTATAAGCAGCACCAGCAGCAGCAGCATGAGTATCAGCAGCATCACGAGCAGCAGCAGCAGCAACACCAGCAGCAGCAGCACCAGCAACACCAGCAGCATAAGCATTAGCATCAGCAGCATCAGCATCAGCATCAGCAGCATCAGCATCATCAGCATCAGCAGCATCAGCATCAGCAGCATCAGCATCAGCAGCATCAGCATCAGCAGCAGCAGCAGGAGCAGCAGCAGCAGGAGCAGCATTGAGACCTCTGCATGTTGAGCAGCCACGGCGGAGGCGACAAAGGACCCATCCCGAGTGCTTCTTTGAGTCTATCTGACAATACACCCGGTTTTATGTTCCTCTTGGCCTGCTGAAACTCTTTACCTTCGTAATACAGATCGCCTAACTTCGTCAAAGGAGGCTTCACCGCATGTTTAAAAAAACAGTCGTGAAGAACCTGCAGTTGCACCGTAATCATAATTATATATATATATAATATTAATAATAAATATTATTATTATTATAATAAATATTATAATAATAATAAATATAATAATGATTATTATTATTATTATTATTATTATTATTATTAGATTAATAATTATTATAATTATCGTTGTTGTAATTATAGTCATAGTAAGATTTATAATTGATATCATGATTTTAATTATAATTGTTATTATAATTATAAATAATAATAATTATTATTATTAGCATTATTATCTTAATTCTATTAATAACTCTTATTATTACTACTATAATCAAAGTAATAATAAAACCCTAAACCCTAAACCCTAAACCCCAAACCCTAAACCCCAAACCCTAAACCCCAAACCCCAAACCCTAAACCCCAAACCCCAAACCCTAAACCCTAAACCCTAAACCCTAAACCCTTGAATTACCTGGTAATCTATAGTCAATCTGTTCGCCTTCGGCCGCACTTTCTCTCTCATTCTTTGTCTCATCGTCTTTTGCTTCTCAGCCTCAACCAACGCCGATCGCACTTCAGAGATCTTCGTTGCTTCGATGTGCGCTGAAACAAATAACAAATAAAATACGATGGGATAATGAATTGAATATAAATAAATTAATTAATTAAACAACGGATTAACAAATAAATAAATATATAAATATATAAACATCTATATAGTAT